ATTGTATATACAATTCAGGCTGATCTAATAAAACACTAGTTATTTTCTAGCTATTTTTTGCAGTCATTTTTCCATGGTAGGCCAGAGGAGTTTGAGAGAAGAGGTAGCACATGAGCCTGAGTTTTGTCTTTCCATACTAAAGTCCAGGAATGAAATAATAGTTAAAACTTTTTTGCTGTGCTGTTCTTACAGATTATCAACACATTTGCTATTATGTTGTACACTTTTAGCTGCTGCCAGAAAATGATACATAAGTTTTTGTATATCCACTTTGAGTGGAAAGGATAATTTCATCTGTGTTCATAAATATCATCAAATGTCTAATTTTATTTAAAAATCCAAACTTTTACTACTGTTTGTCACCATCCAAAATGCATTCTATATTCAAAGTCTTCAGGCAAAGTTAGTTTAACACAATCTTGCCAGTGTGTACCATTCATTATTGCAGTAATAAAATTTTTCCCAAAGGATTAATAACTTCATTCTTACTGAAGTTTGCAAAATTAAGGAAACATTGTTATCATTAAGAATCACTCAAGAATATTTGATCCTGGACAGACCAGAGATAATGATAATGATGGTTTATGATAGATTAGAAGCTGTTGTGAACTTTCTGTGAATTAAATAAAATAATATATTGTTAACAGAGGACTTTGAAGTTTAACTTTGCTGTTTGCTTTACCTTTAACTATGTTTGTTTATATATGTAGTAGATTGATGTCAGTTATACTGGTCAGGTAAACAAAAATGTAGACGTTCCTAAACTGTAGGCTTGTTTTTCAAGGTAGAAGGGAGATTATTATTCTTGAAATATATTTATCAGTATTCAACTAGGGAGGACAATTTATGTGTATGTATATTTTTAATGCAAAATTTTAATGTCTTGTTTAGTTTTGCTTTATTTTTGTATTTTTTTCTCCTTTTTTTGAGTTTGTATTTTAGCATTGTGAATAAAATTAAACTTATTGGACAAAAAATCTGCAAAATTATGGTACTAGAAATTTCTCTCTTTACAATCAAAATCGTGAATTGAGGAATTATGTGGTAGAATCCAAATGCTTGGATTCCCCAACACTCAAAAAGGTAGTAATAGTCTCATCCTCTGAATTGAGCTAGCATTCTAAACAAAGTTTATAGCTTTTTGCATGTATATAGTGTATTATATTATCCTATATAGAGTTGAGATATTTTTAACGAATAACCAAATAAAATGGTGAGTTGTGCTATATTCAATGTGGGTTCAAGATAAAATGAATCTACATCACAAATGATTTTTTTTATAAACTTAACCTATAAAAATGCAGAATATAAACTAGATATATAACATTTGATGAGAAGACAAATGCATTATTTTCCATTATGTTAAACATTTCCATTAAAATTTAAACTTTAATATTTAATAATCAGTAGACTATTGTAATAGCTATTAATAGTTCAATGTCTGCATGTGCTTTCCAGTTATTAATCCTTTCTGTTGTATTTGCTAAACTATACATTTTATAATATGGCTTATCGTTTTCTTTGTAACTTAAAATAAATTATTAAATGTGTTAAAAGAGATATGTATACAAAAATGTTTTTATATTTTTCCACATTGTTCTCTGATTTCTCTCCTTTAATGTCTTTGTGACTTCTTGGGTAAAAGAAAAGATTCAAGGAGTATTTAATTGAAAATTAGAATCAGTTCAATTCAATTCAACTGAAATGTCCAAGTTTCAATTTAATAAAGAAAAATATTAAGAAAGGAAAGCATAGAATGTGCTTATTTTTAAAACATTATTTAGTTTCCTTAATCGTAATGAAAGTAATAGTAGTAATGAAACGTTTACAAAACAAATGATTATATAAAGCACTTTAAAAAATCGAACTCCTTTATACGGATTTGCTGTCATAATTTTCAAGTTTTTCTTTTCCCTTTATTTAACTACTTTAGAAATCATAAATCCTTTACAGTTCAAAGTAGTGATTATTGTTGTTTTTAATCTTGTAGCACACTTCTGCTGATGGATATTCTGAATCTCATATCCAACCCACAAAATCAAGTAGTCGACAGAATATACCACGTTGCAGAAACTCAATTACCTCTGTAAATGAAGAGCATCCTCACATTGGGAACTATCGCTTATTAAAAACAATAGGAAAAGGAAATTTTGCTAAAGTGAAGCTGGCTAGACATGTTCTTACAGGTAGAGAGGTAAGTTTCTTTAAGCTAGGCTTGATAACTATTATTTTGTTTTCAAAATGTTTGTCCAATATTTTCATTATTGAAAATAAAATCCAGCATATAAAGGTGGGGTTTTTTTCTTTTTGACTGTCTGCAGTGTGTATACTTGAACTTCGTTCCTGAGGTGTGGCAGCTTTGTTAGTACCATAAGACATATAAGGCTAACAGTTCTGTGGGCAGATTTTGGTCTGTCACTATATTTTTGTAAAACAGTTTATGGAAAATTTTTAAGTATAGTGTGAGTGGAAGAGAAAGAATTCCCTCCTTGACTTACTTACCCCTTTTTTTCCTAATGAGATTTCTAAATTAGAAGTAATCCAACTCAGGAGAAAAAGAAGTTGAAAATATTCAAGACAAAAACTTGTCCATACAAATGTGATCACTTTTTGCAGCCCTTTGACAAGCAGTCAGGGGGCAAGCCATATTCATTTAAGTTAGTGTTACAACTTAAAATTGCAATGATTCATTTAACAGCTATGGCAAGAAAGATTGTAAAATGGGGCAAAACTCATTTAACAACTGTCTTACTTAACAACATTAGTTTTGGGCTCAATTGTGGTTGTAAATCAAGAATTACCTGTTCTGGAGGTGTGCTTTCTCTGTTATCTCTCTCTCTAGTATATTGCTCACTATTGAAAGAATATACACTTTGATAATTAAGAATTTTATCTGAATGGGGTCAGTTTCTGCCTAAAATAAACAATTGTTATATACTGTAAAAGTTTGTTTAATTGTTCAACTTTTTAAAAAGTTATTTTTTGCCTTTCCATCCTTAGGTTGCTGTCAAAATTATAGACAAAACCCAATTAAATCCTACCAGTTTACAAAAGGTAATGTTTCTGTCATAATACGTTAGCATTTTGGATTCAAGAATCCAATCTCTTATTTTTCTTTCTTTCTTTGCTCATATAAGATAACTGAAAAACACTGCGATTAATAGTCTGTTTGAGATTAGGTTGAAAATGACAGCTACAATACATCCTGATTTAATATGGGAATAGATGATAATAACTAGTTGGCTTAATCTGGGAGGAGAGGCAGTACAGGTGGAATAGAATATATCTTTATTACGATCAAAGATCAGCAATAGATATCACTTTTTACAATATATTAAAAAAAAGTATTGACATTGAAAGTGGATAATAACATCCCTGTTAAGAAAATACATGTTTTCAAACTGTTCGGCCCACTCCCTGGTTTATGTGGGTGAAAAGCCAATAAGTATGTGAGTAAATATAATGTTCCAAAAATTGTTAGAGATATCTCCAAATAATAACCAATTTTTTTCTTGTGGACATTGCAGCAACACAGAATGTTGCCATTGCATGCATGGTAAACAGGTTTTAGTCCTGGAGGAGAAAGCCTACATAAAAATTGTCTGCCCTCCCTGGCAATCTCTCTAGTAAGGGGACAATGTATGCAGCCTTATGAACTCTGTACAGCTCACGGTACAATAAAACATGTGAGATATCTTCAACTTCTCCCTTACCACATATGCATACCTTTTCTGCTATTAGTGTTCTCTATACCTGCCCTGGAGGAGTGCTGAAGGGAGAATGTTAAATCTAGCTCTGAAGAAAGCTATTTATTCTTTGTTTTGGGAAGATCAGATCATTTAGATATCTTGCCAATTCCCACACACCCTGTTTGATTCCATCCCTAATGTGGAGAGGCAATCTGTTTAGTTCTTCTTGAAACTCCATGTCCTTCATTCTATTGATTACTACTTGCTTTGCTTGGTCAAAGCCTAGGGACATTAAGAATACTGGTGAGAGCCTGTAAAAGCCCAGCTTGCTATCTATTGCCTGTTTCCAGGAGGAGGGGAAGTTGTCAGTCAATACTAGCGGGGACAGGCAGTATCGGGGGAGCAAAGTCAAAAGAGAACTCAGCCTAGAATTATTATGTGGCCACAAACACTCCAGTCCCCTTGGAGTTCCACTAACACTTATCGGTTTACTACTGAGTTTTAGTTAATAGTCTTGAGTATAGGTTTGAGCAATAAATCCTCTGACCTGGAACTTAAGTGTTATTCCAATTTGATGTACTTGATACTCACCTTCTAAAACTGAACTATTTTGGAGAATTCTCTCTGCTTCTATTGAGTAACTTAACAACAGGTTCATCTGAGGTTCAAGACATGACTTCAATCTTGTGAGGTGGGTTGGACTGAGAGAGTAACTAGCCCACTTAGCTGACTTTTATGGCTAAGGCTGGACTGGAACTCACAGTCTCAACCTTTGTAGCCTGGTGCCTTAAACCACTAGACCAAACTGGCTCTCTAATTTTTTAAAAGTATATTAATTGAAAAGAGTGTTTAATGGTCTGCTTGCTAAGGTACATTTGACAAGAAATGTAAGCAATAGTTAATGCTTTGCTGATGTAAGCTGTGAATAATGTCAGTCTCAAAATGTCGATCTGGTGTACAACTTCTCCTATAATGAAAATACTATCCTTAAAAAATGCAGTTATTATCAGAAATATTATCTTCAAATCCTAGCATTTAGCTAGGCCACTATTCGGTTGGAAGTGAGCTATCAAATCCAAACATAATCATGGCAGTTATTTCTCAGAATATGGCTTGAAATAGTTTCTTACTAGTAAGCTGTTATATAGTGCACTGCAACCACTTGAATACATTTGTTTGGCAATTTTTGTGGGCATGTCTGCCATGTTATGATCATATAAAGAGCAAACATACAATAAAATTTACATGTTAATTTAGTTTTTTTATTAGTCATTTCACAAATACTCTTGTTTTATCTAAATTAACCTTTTATTAAAGTAGCATAAATAAATGCTTTACCAGGTCCTTGAACTGGTTGATATAATGTCAGTTAACTTTTTTTTTTAAGATAAAACTTAAAAATTCAAAGTTTCAATTGTTCGACATCAAACTGTTTCCATGTTAATTTATATTTGCACAATATTGATCTTGCTTTGTTGGTTTGATATACTGCTGCTTTACTATAGTATTAAAATGTTTCTGCAATAAATAATAATTTTGTGTAGCCTAAAAAAAGCATTTCTTCAGATCTTTCTCTTGATTTTCTTATTATTGTGTTTTTCATATGAATGGTATAAAACCAATCTGAAAAACTGATAAGATCAGTTCCCTGTTAAACCTCAGAAAGTAGTTGAGTGTGGAAGGAAATTTTAGAAAGTCATGTACATTTGTATTAATTATAACTCAGACCTGAAAGGATATTGGCAGTAAAGCTAAGAATCCATTGAAATCAGTGTGAAAAGTTAGAGATCATTAAAGGTAAATCCAATTGATTGCACTGAGAATTAAACAATTTATTTAAGATCTTGTTCTTTACTTGTATAGGAACAACTTGCTATTGCAACAGTATACTAACCTTTAAACCAAACTCCTAAATATATATTCTTTTAATATTTATATAATTTATTAAAATTATATAAAAATTATTCAGATACATGGGTTTTTTTAACAGCTGTTTCGAGAAGTACGAATAATGAAAATACTGAATCATCCGAATATAGGTAGGAATCTTCAGTTTATTTTTTATAAATTATATTTGAACTTTAGAAAACCTTTGGGAAAAAATAGTTACTACTTAGTTTTATGAACATTATTATATACAATTTCTAAATTTTTAATAAATATTGCTTTTGGCTTTTAAAGAATTCATGCTTTCCTAAATAAAGCAAGCTTAATATTTCTTATGGAAAATAGCTACTTAATTGTAAGTACAATAGTAAGGATGCAGATTGTTTCATTGATTTCTGGACAGGCAGTGAATTTTCTAATTGGCTTTCCAGCTTTGCCATGGCAGAATCATAGTCTAAAAATCTAGCTTTGGAATTCCCTTAAATAATCAACCTTTTATGTCATTACATAGTAAAGTCTAAATTATTTCCTTGAAAGAAGCCTTAAAAAAAAAAGATTCTTGTTATATTTGATTTAAACGCTTCTCTGTCCCAGCTTTTTGCCTTCAAAAATGTCTTCTTGCCAATGTAATTGGCAAAGTCTTAATATCCAGCATACCAATTTAGAAACAGATAAAGTGTAAAAGCTTGGCCCTAGTCTATGTTCTGCCCCTTTTGGCCTTGAAAGTTTCTCTCTGCTTAGCACTGAAAAGAAACTGATTACAATACTATAATTCAAATTCTCATTGTGAAAACGTCTATAATCAGGATTGCAATATTGGGCTGATTAGCATAGTAGTTAAAATAATACAGTAAGCTGTGAATCAGGAATTCCTGGTTCAATTTTTGCTGCTGTGAATTCACTAGCAATTTTAGGAAGCCATTTTCTCAGATTCAGTCTTCCCCACCCAAACATAAATACATGGCAAAGGTAATGCATTCCTATATTTCACCTTCTGGGATTGCTGCAAGAATTACAATGAAATAATGCATGCAATATGCTATGAATATTTATAAGCACCATATGCTATTATTTATTATTAATTTATGAAAATGTGATAATAGTTTTATCAAAATAGACACTAAAGATTTATTTTAGTGCAAATCGGTACCACTTCATAATGAACGTGTGTAACTTTCCCTTTCTGGTTTAGTTTCTCCCATCTTTAAAGACTGACTATGTGATGGCAATTCTTCTGGCTGGTGAGGGGTAGAACAATATTGTTCAAGAGACAAATTATTGTTTCTGAATTGACCAGAGAGCTTGTTTCATACAAGGTATACAGATAGTTGCATAGAGAATACGGACCTCCAGCTCCTGCTTTCATCAGAATAAGCAGGTTTTCTGGATGTTAAAATCTTGTCAACTTAAACTCTTCCATCACCATAGTGATTTTGGGAACATATCCCAGGGCGTTGTTCTTTTGGTTCTTAACAGTTCCTGCTGTCTCCTTTGGGAAACTCTTTTCTTCTTCAGGGGAATCAAAACAGGAACCATTCTGATCCAACTTAGTTCTAGCAGAATAGTAAATGGTTTTGATTTCAAGAACCACATCTGTAGAACCAAACTATGATTTCAGCATGCATTTCTTCATATATGTGATGTGGATAAGATACATCAATTTAGAAATAAAGTATTTAGCTTTATTTTAATTATTCTTCGTTGCTTATGGTTAGGCAATTTATTACCATTTTTATCTTACAGTTAAACTATTTGAAGTTATTGAAACAGAGAAAACATTATATTTAATAATGGAATATGCTAGTGGAGGTAAGTTAATGTTCTGTTCTACTTCTAATGTGTGGAATAGGTAATGTGGATATTAGAAAGTGAGGATGGAGAATTATGATTTCTTTTTTGAACTTATTTCCACTTCATGGAAACCATAGCTGAGCTGGAAGTTAAAGTTAGGGTTAGCTGAAGTTACTATTTTTTTGGCTATTGTTGATGAAAGCTTTTTTATGTTTGTGTCTCTTAGAAACACAAGCTGAGCTACAACCTAGTTTTCAATAGATAATGTAATGAATCCCATTTCAGGCTTTAACTGAGGCCTCCTCTGATATTAGACTTTTCACAAAAAACTTTATTCCTACAGAAGTTTAGTTTATGAGAGGGAAGAATACTATCCTTACCTTTTCCCTTAAGTATAATATTAAAATATAATACAAATACAAATGATGCCCTCGACGTGATGTCCCGATGCCTGGAGGCTGTGAAGATCTGGATCGGGAGGAACAGGCTCAAGCTCAATCCCTCCAAGACTGTGGTTTCCGTCATCCCAATTTGTGCATCTTGTTCCATCTTTGATGATAGGGGGAGAAACTTTACCCCCCTCAGAGAGGGCCTGCAATCTGGGAGTTCTCCTGGATACGCGGCTTAGTTTAGAAGAACACCTCACGGCGGTGACCAGGGGGACCTTTTACCAGGTTCACCTGATACGTCAGTTGTGCCCCTTTCTGGATCAGGATGCTCTGTGCACAGTCACTCATGCCCTCATCCTTTCTTGCCTGGACTACTGCAATACTCTCTACATGGGGCTGCCCTTGAAGAGCACCCGGAGGCTTCAAGTGGTCCAGAATGTGGCTGTGCGGGTTATCATGGGGGTACCTAGATGCTCCCATGTTACGCCACTTTTAGGCAGCCTGCACAGGTTGCCGGTTGTCTTCTGGGT